GGCGCAATCTTGGCTCACTGCAACCTCCGCCTCCTGGGTTCAAGCGATTTTCCCACCTCAGCCTCCTGAGTAGCTGGGACTACAGGTGCCCACCACTACGGCCGGCTACCTTTTGTATTTTTAGTAGAGACGGGGTTTCTCCATGTTGGCCAGGCTGGTCTCAAATTCCTGACTTCAGATGATCTACCCACCTCAGCCTCCCAAAGTGCTGGGATTACAGGCATGAGTCATTGTGCCCAGCAATTCTCCAATTCTCTTCATACACCAACTGGGTGTCCTGCAATTCAATTCAATTCAATTCTGACACTATCTACTGGTGCTAGCATCAGATGCTACAAGTTAAGAGCTTGGTCCCATAAGACTGCCCTCACTTCAAATGCCAGTCACAAGTCTGGGCCTCCTGTGCATCTGACTAACTAGTTATAAATTGGGGCTTCCTACAACCCCCCTCTCTGGGTTCAATAGTTTGCTAGAATGGCCAGGTGTGGTGGCTTACACCTGTAATCCTAGTGCCTTGGGAGGCTGAGGTAGAAGGACTGCTTAAGGCCAGAGTTTGAGGCCAGCCAGGGCAATATGGCAAGACCTCGTCTATACAAAAAGAGTATTTAAAAAAATTAGCTGGGCATGGTGGCACGTGCCTATATTTCCAGATACTTGGGAGGCTGAGGCAGGAGGATCACTTGAGCCCAGCAGGTTGAGTCTGCAGTGAGCTGTGATTGTGCCACTGCACTCCAGCCTTGGTGACAGAGCTAGACCCTGTCTAAATTTTTTAAAAATTTGCTAGAATGGCTCACAGAAGTCAGGGAAATATTTCACTTATGTTTTCTGGTTTATCATAAAGGATACCATTTAGGAAGAGCCTTGGAAGAGATGCATAGGCAAAGTGTGGGGTGAGGAACATGGAACTTCCATGCCCTCTCCAGATGCACCACCTCCCAGCAACTTGATGTAGTCACCAACCCAGAAGCCCTTGGAACTTGTCCTTTAGAGTTGTTTTTTTGGAGATGGAGTCTCACTCTGTCAACCAGGCCAGAGTGCAGTGGTGTGATCTCAGCTCACTGCAAGTTCTGCCTCCCGGGTTCACACCATTCTGCTGCCTCAGCCTCCCGAGTAGCTGGGACTACAGGTGCTTGCCACCATGCCCAGCTAATGTTTTCTTTTTTTGTATTTTTAGCAGAGATGGGTTTTCACCATGTTAGCCAGGATGGTCTCGATCTCCTGACCTCGTGATCTGCTCACCTTGGCCTCCCAAAGTGCTGGGATTACAGGCGTGAGCCACCATGCCCGGTCCTTTTTTTTTTTTTTTTTTTAAATTTTTGAGACGGCGTCTTGCTCTGTTGCCTAGGCTGGAGTGCAGTGGTGCAATCTCGGCTCACTACAACCTCTGCCTCCTGGGTTCAAGTGATCCTCGTGCCTCAGCCTCCTGAGTAGCTGGGATCACAGGCACACGCCACCATGCTCGGCTAGTTTTTTTGCATTTTTAATAGAGACAGGGTTTCTCCATGTTGGCCAGGCTGGTCTCTAACTCCTGACCTAAAGTGATCCACCCACCTCGACCTCCCAAAGTGCTGGTATTAGAGGCGTGAGCCACGGTGCCCAGCCATCTATTCTCCTTTCAATCCTCCTAAAATACCCCCAGTTTCTCCCCAGTTCCATCCACCTCTACATGACCATGTGCTTGCAGGAAGGGAGTCTAACCCCCAGGCCCAAGGAATGAACCATAATGAAATTAAGCCATTCATGAGTTTCCTTTTCTTTGCTGGTAACTGGCTTAGACGTGGGCATATGAAACTGGAAAGTTGGCTTGAGGGCTTCTGAGAAAAGTTTTCCTTGCAAGATTAGAAAAAGAGACACACAGGCCGGGCGCGGTGGCTCAAGCCTGTAATCCCAGCACTTTGGGAGGCCGAGACGGGCGGAACACGAGGTCGGGAGATCGAGACCATCCTGGCTAACCGGGTGAAACCCCGTCTCTACTAAAAAATACAAAAAAAAAAAAAAAAAGAAAAGAAAAAGAGACACACAGGAAGAAACAGTCTCTCTGCCTCTGCTGGACATCGTGTGTATGTATACATCAGCCGGAATTGTGGCAGCCATTTGGTAGCCATGAGGGGCACTAGCCCGAGGCTATCAGAGTGAATATGGAAAGAGCCTGGGTCACCGATGATGAGGCGGGCAGATTACTTGAGGTCAGGAGTTAGAGACCAGCCTGGCCAACATGGCGAAACCCCGCCTCTACTAAAAATAAAAAAATTAGCAGGGTGTGATGGCACATTCCTGTAATCCCAGCTACTCGGGAGGCTGAGGCAAGAGAGTCAATTGAACTTGCAAGGTGGAGGTTGCAGTGAGCCAAGATTGCGCCACTGCACTCCAGTCTGAACAACAGAGTGAGACTCCGTCTCCAAAAAAAAAAAAAAAAAAGGAATCCTAACCTACCTACCTCCAGGTTTCTTGTTATATGAGATAATTCATTTTCCTTTTTGTTTAAGACAGTTGAGCCTGGAGTGGAGGGGAAAATAATGAGTTTAGCCTAGTGACATTGAGGTGATGGCAGAACAGCATCCTTTTAAATCCTAAAGCTCAGGGAACATCAAGGTTAAATTTGAACTTGGGAGTCACCTATGGAGAAATATTCCATAAAGTCATAATCTTAGAAAGCAGACCCGTACCTGGAAAAGCTGCCTCTGTGCCTGAGGAATTCCAGTGACATAAGAGAACATTGCACCCACATGTGTAGTCATTTCCTAACTGGATATGCTATTGTCCCAGGTCTTTGTGTCCCATCTGGAGAAGGGGAGATCACAGAGGTGGTAGTGAGCTCCTGGTGAAGGAGTTCAGAGAAAGTGATTACAACATCTGGATCCCATCCTCAGATTCTACTCTCCTCAAGCCTGGCTTTTATGGACCTTGATAGCCATTTCCAGTTAACTTAAACATTCTAGTCTAGTGTGGATAGCTTTGAAAATGGGTTATAAGTAACTTTTGAATTCACTGACTCATATCTTTTAGTAAATTACCATCCCAGAAAATCAAGGTTCTGATCATCTTATAGACATCCTATGGGTGATACTGTAGAAGCCTTAAAGGAAGCATCACATTCTATGGGTGATACTGTAGAAGCCAGGGTCAAAAAATATATAACATGAAATATCAAGGAAAAGGCCAATGTAGAACACAGAGGTTCTAGTGCCCAAGCTTAGGAAGTGTTAAACAAAAATTATGGGAGGGCCATTGTTTTGGACTGAGCTTTTGCACTAGACCACAACAGACCAGAACAAACCAAATTGAGTCCCTCCTGCTAAATGCCACATAATCAAACTTGACATACATCCCACAACAGAGCAGTTTTTCCTGAAAACAGGAGATTTCAGTTTACCTGAGTCAGAATAAGGAAGTCCCCTCTGCTTTAACCCTTACCAAAAAAGTAACCCAAAGTAGCCTGATGTTAAGCAATCAGCTCTTCTTCCATTGTTCTGTTTCCTTGTTCCCCTCTTTTAAAACCCATTCTTCCCCCATTGCCCAGAGGAAGCTCTCATTCTGTTTTGTGGAATTACCTTAATTCATGAATCTCAAAAGCCAATTCAATCTATAACTAAATTTGTAATTTTGTCTTTTGCCATAAGATAGTTTTGAAAGTTACTAATCCATAGGGCACTACTGTTACTTTAAGAAAATACATTCATAGGAGGGGGGAGGAGATATTTTGCAACATCAAAAAGTTTACTTAAGATTACTTGAAAATTTATTTTTGAAATTCCAGTATACAGAACTTTCCTACAGGCTCATCTTAGTGAGTAAACGCACACACCTGTACAATATTTACAGTGAAGCCTGTCTTCCCTGAGACAACTTACCCCATTTCTAAGTTGCCATTGCTGGGTCTACCTTGAAACTACTCTTGCTTCCCTAAGCCAAAAAAGACATATTTTAATGAACTGAAAGAGCAAATGCAGTCTCCAAAGATGGCTAACTTCAATCCTGCAGTTATTTAGACAGGAAAATCTGGCTTCAAACACTATTGTCTGCAGGCAGGGTTTGCAATTGGCCAGGACCAAGGACAGTGTTTAAAGATGACTCAGTTGTATGGCCTGGGGAGAGCCGGAGCGGTGAAGGGAGACCAGCCAGTGGTCCTTCTAACTGAAAAGGATGCTAGGTCAGTTTTTTATGACTTCGAGGCTATGAAGGCTCAGACCTGCTGCAACCTAGGAGTGGGTGTCCAGTGTAAGAAAATGAGACCCCAAGAAATGCACCTTCAAATTATCTGAATGAGAGGTGGGTAAGACTCAACTTCTCCCTCTCCTACATTCTCCCCAACCCCCGTGGGGCTTACAGGCTAGGATTTCGGCACAGAAATCCCTCTTCTTCCATGGCTTTAGGGTCCAATTGGGGACCTAGCCGTGTGACCTTCCCCAGGCCCCAGAATCTCCTTTGGGACGTCCCCGAGGCCCTCCCTGTCTGGGGCTCAGCAGGCGTCCGCCTGTGTAACCAGCCTCCGAGCGCTCGGGATCGCCAAAGAGACGCATCCGCCGCCCACTGCGCATCGCTGGCCGGTCAGCTCGGAAACCCTCCGAGCCGCACTGGGCCGCCGCCCCGGCCCCTCCCGCTCCGGCTGTCCCACCCTAGCCCGCAGCGCCACGCCCACCGGGGGTCCGGGGCCTGCCGGGGCTGCCCTCCTCCGCCTCGCCTGCGCCCGCCGGCGGCTCGGTCCCCGAAACCCCAGGTCCTTTCCCCCGCCGCCGCAGGCCCCCGACCCGCCGTCCTTTCCCGGCGCCGCCCGCCAGGGCCGCCTCTGCAGCCGCCAGCGCCCGCCGCTGCGCGCTGATTGGCTGGCGGGGCCGGCGGCGGCGCTGAGTGGCCGGGCGGATTCGCTGGGTCAGGGCTGCAGAGGCGCCTGGCGCACCCGCGGGAGCGGAGCCGCGGCGCGCTCGCCCCGGACGCCGGCCGCCCCTCCGCTCGCCCTGCTGAGCGAGCGGCCCGGGGCGCCGAGGGGTCCGCGCCGCGCGGGGCGCACCGCCCTGGCCGCCATGTGCTCCCAGCTCTGGTTCCTGACGGACCGGCGCATCCGCGAGGACTACCCGCAGGTGCAGATCCTGCGCGCCCTCCGGCAGCGCTGCTCCGAGCAGGACGTGCGCTTCCGGGCGGTGCTCATGGACCAGATCGCCGTCACCATCGTCGGCGGCCACCTCGGTGAGCGAGGCGGGCCCCGGGAGGGCAAGGGAGGCGCGCCGGGGTCCATGAGAGCCGGCCGGGTGGGCGAGCTCGCCCGGCCTCCCGTAGCGGAGTCTCCTTCAGGCCCGCACACCAGCCGCACTCCCGCTGCGAGACCGCTTGGGGTTGGAGAAAGCCGCTAACCTTCATAGGTTCTTTAACCATCACCACCTGCCCCGAGGCCAAGATTCGAGAACGCGATTTAATTTACTTAGGGGACTTCATTTTGTGAGAAACCCAAATTCACCTGAAGCCGCCCGAGTGTCCGAGGAAAATCAGGCTGTTAAACCCCAAATTTGCAAATCCTGCTCGCATCAATACCTTGACAGTTTAGAGTCTGAGGTTTCTAGAAACCCACAACAGATTTACAAAATTACGATTAAGATGACTGTTTTAAAAAAGTTTTTTAGGAGTGTGTGAGCAGCAGTAATGGGCACCACATAGAATATTATTTCCAAACTAGAAAGCCACATATGGGGGAAATCTGAGAAAGATTGGAGTCACTTCTCGAGTGTAAAGTGGGAGTGTAGACCTTTGATGGGTTTAACTCATCCTTCTCCCTAGCAGCGTTGAATTCTGATTCCAGAAGAGTCGGGATTTCAGGTTCAGACAGTTCTGGCCTCACCGATCACTCCACTGCTGTGTTCAGGAGACTTTTGTGGGTAAGACATGGTTGTCATCTGTGGATTTGACCTCAAAAGGTTAATTATTTTTTCCATATATCCTTAATACAGGCCTCTCTGATTTAGGAATCCCTGACGCAGAATACTCCCTCTGGCTTGCTGTTTGAGTGTCTCTGGGGCTCCACGGGAGGCATCCAACCATTTCAGGGAGTCCAGGACTCAAAAGGATTTGCGCCCAGTTCAGGGTGCATCTTGGGTTACTGTTCGCATTATTTCAACAATTATTTCTGGTTAAATAAGCTCGTAATTTGCTACTTTGCTTTGGCAGAGGAAGGAATTTCGAATTCGGAAAGACTACTTCCAAGTGAGATTTTGAATATGACCTGTTTCTGAGTGGAATATAGCTGTTACAGATTTTTTCATCCCTAAGTTTATCGAAGTCCCCTCATACTTAATATCAGATTGTATATCCTGTTGGAGAAATATACCATAAACATTAGGTACTTTACATTTAATCTACAACAGTATCTTTCAGCTGCAACTGGTACCGTCTCTCCTTGATTTATTAAAACTCTCACAGTTAATGTAGAAGTGGAATTCTGAACAGGGAATCTGCAGATGTGGATTCCTATTACAGCTTTGCAGTTGATGAGTATCTTGGCTTTGCTTTGGGCAAGCCACTTTATGTCTTTGAATCTCAGGATTCTCATTTATAGAAACTAAGGGTTAAGGTTCCTCTCACTTTAAATGTATGTGTTTCAGTATCATATTTAAATTATATAATCTGTCGTATTTCACCGACCTAGATTAAATAACATGTTCATCTTTCTACCCAGGATGAACTTTTTGCTTATTTATTTTACAGCTTGTAAAGTTGTCTCTTTTTTGAGATACAGTAGCCAAATTCCACATCACCTTCAGGTTGTAGAACCGTCACAAATTCTGTAAGAGCAAGAAAATGCTCCGTGTCTAAAACCCCATTTTAAAGAATCAGTCCTAGAAAAAGATAAAATAAAATGTTAGTGCCACAGGGAACATTCAAACCCTTTTGTTTAGTGTCTTAAATATTAATGGAATTCGTGTGTGAAAATACCTTAATCTATTCACAAACCAGGAGTTCATTTTTTTTTTTCTCTTGCTCAGGCTGGAGGGCAATGGCGCCATCTTGGCTCACGGCAGCCTCAGCCTCCCGGGTTCAAGCGATTCTCCTGTCTCAGCCTCTTGAGTAGCTGGGATTACAGGCCTGCACCACCTTGCCCGGCTAATTTTTTTTTTTTTTTTTTTTTTTTTTTTTTTTTTTTTAAGTAGAGACGGTTTCACCATGTTGGTCAGGCTGGTCTCAAACTCCTGACCTGAGGTGATCCACCTGCCTTGACCTCCCAAAGTAGTGGGATTACAGGCCTGAGCCACTGTGCCCAGCCCGTTCTTTTTAACTACAGGAAAATCTACACAGCTATTTGCCTGGTCAATGGAGAAATTGAAGACAGTTATTTTTTGATGCAGTTTTAGTTTTTGTTAATTCCGAGGTAGCCCACACAAATCACAAAACGTAGAACAAAACTATTAGATCACCAATTCTGCCGTCCAAAGCTGTCCAAAGATTTGTTATGGAAGCAGATTAATTAAAGCACAAGTGAGTCCCGTGAGAATGACCTCGTTGGCTTTGTTCAGCGCTATAATAGTGGCTAGAATAGTGCCTTGCACTTGGTAGGCTCTCAGTACATATTTTTTTGATGAATCAGGATATGATCTCTGGTTCTCAGTTTCTTCTGTAGTCAAACTATAGAAAACCCTTGGCAATTTGCTGAGCCAAAGTATTTCTCGAAAAAAAAAATTCCAGAATTCAACTTGCCTTGAAATACAGAAATATGTAGTTATGATGATATTGATACTATTTACTGTTTGAGAATTATAGAATGTGAGAGCTGGAAAGGATTTTCAGATCATCCATTCTAATTCCTTCATTTTACAAAGAACCTGAGGCTCCAAGAGGTGAAGTGACTTCCTCAATGCCATCCAGCTAGTTAACAGCAAACCTAAAGTTAAAAAACTTGGTCTTCTAATTTCTAGCCCAGTGATATGGAATAAGCTTCCTTTAGGATGTCTGTAGCCTATAGTACCTTTCTCAGAAGATGTGGAATTGAACTGAATTGAGTTATGTTGAGGCTAGACAGTGACTTTGGAATGTAATTTTATAATTTAGGAAGTTCAGGTATCACCTTTACAAAGCCTTTGTGCCTTCACTCCTTTCCATTGCTTCTTTATATTAATGTAGGAATATGATGATGGAGTTGATTGGGGCAGGTATGGCGGTGCCTCAGCCAATTGCTTAAATTCATTCCTGAGCTTTTCTCTTTGGAGGCTAGTGGGAGGCCAAATCCAGGGTTTAGAGTTTCAGGTTATATCTGGAAATAGGATTCAGACAAGAGATTATAAGTTTTCATGATTTTTATTTTTAATCTAGTAATCTGAGTGGGGAGACAGTGGGGAGAGGAAAATGATCTTTAGGTGACTGAAGCAATCCTGTAGAAAACAGCCTTCGTTCACTCTTTGCTGGGTGTAGCATTATATGAAAATCATGTCCATCTCCGTTTCCTTTTTAGAAACGGCAAGTTCTTCATTCATTTAACAAATACGTACTAAATATCCTCAACCCTAGGGATAAAGTGATGAACGTGACACCAGAATGCACATAATAATAATAATGGTCATAGCTCGCTCGCTCTCTATATATATAGTGTTTATTCTGTGCCGGGCATAGGTGTAACTTCTTTTTACCTGTTAACTCTTCTAAATGCCAATAAGGATATATGGGAATATAGCACCGGCTGGGAGTTAGGACAAATACTCAGTAATTCTGGTCTAAACACTGTCTCCTCTTTTCCACTCTATCCTTTGCGTTGGTCTACACTGATTTCACCATGCCTGTCTGTGACTCCAGACCTTGCACTAAAATTCCCTCTGCCTCGGATGCCCACTGTTCCCTCCCACATGGTTCACCTTTATTCATCCTTCAAATCCAGCACAAGTCACTTGTCTCTAAAAAGGCTTGCTTGAGCTCCTTTCTTTGTCCCCAATGTCCCCAAGTAGTCCCTCTCTTCCATCTGCTGCCAAATAGCTTTGTCCATACCTTTTAAAATAGCACTCATCATATTTTGCTATAATTTATCTATTTATACAGTTTATATTCCCCCTCCCTCTGAAGAACCAGGATTCTTCAAATGTGTGCTTCGTAACTGGTACATAGTAGGCCTTCAGTTAATGTGTGTTGGATGACTAAATGAAGTGTCTTAAAAGCTAATTTGAAGTATGTGAGACTTTTACTGCAATGAGCTAAGGAGCTTCTGTGTGGGGGAGATCATGAGGGGATGTGTAAATGAGGACAGATTCACTAGAAAGAATTAAGTTATTTGCCCACCCACAGCTCTGTATGATTAATTGGCTCAAGAAACAAGTGTAGTAACAAACTCAGGGACAGATACCCACCAAGACATAAAACAAGTCTGACCTGGAAATGAGGTTGTGTTACTGTTTGTCTCTTAGGAGCAGGATGATTCAGCATTCCTTCCCTTACATTCAGAGCTAAAACGTTGGTAGCTAAATGGCAAATTCTAGGTCAGATTCTTTAAATCAAGGTGTTCTTGGATCCTTTTACTTGGGTCTTTGTAGTAATCAGGTGAGTCAGATTTAAAAGAGTGGGGAACGGGTAGATTCTGACTACATTTGTATAAGGAAACGGTCTTACCTCGGATCACTAAAAGGCAGCCAAAGGCTCACAGAGAAAGGATGGACTCCCATCACTGTGCAAGAAGACACTGGCAGGAAAGAGGTACCATGCTAACTTTTGTGCAGAAAACTTGATCTTTAACTTCAGTTCCTGCTAAAGGCTTGTGCCCGACATCTTATAATCCACATGATACCACTGTACAACACTCGTGGGAAGAAAGGTCAGGGAATGAGTACAAGCACCTACCATATATTTCCAAATAGACGTGAGTGCTGCATGGATGTGCTTTACCCCTTGGGTCCACATTTATATCTGTAGGCTCACCGCAAGGGCTGAGAGTGGGATGGATGTTTAGTTTATGTTTCTAACAGGAGTTTTTACACCCCATGAACTATGTTAGGAAGAGTTTTAGAACCAGTAGATGAGATCCTTCTTGGATCTCAAAGCCCTGCTCCTAGATTTCCTTTTCTTTTCTTCTTCCTCTTTTTTTTTTTTTTTTTTTTTTTTAAGATGGAGTCTCACTCTGTTGCCCAGGCTGGAGTGCAGTGGCGCCATCTCAGCTCACTGCAACCTCTGCCTCCCAGGTTCATGCAGTTCTCCTGCCTCAGCCTCCCAAGTAGCTGGGACTA